CCTCTCCTCCTCCCCCTCCTCCTCCTCCTCCTCCCCCCCCTCCGCCTCCGTTTTTTAAGAAACCAGTTCCCGTCTCTTCCGCTCCTTCCTCTTCGCACAGCAAGGTGGACGCGAACAAAACCCCTGGGGGGAACCGCTTTTCTGCACGTCTTGCCGACATGTTTGCTTCGGTTGCGGGGAATGCTGCCAGACGGCGCTCTGTGTCACCAGCCAGGCGGGAGGTTATAGAAGAACCCCTCAGTTTCGATAGGGTTATTCCTGGTAAGAAAGCTGCGGTGGGGTAAAGATGGAAGAATCAAGTATATTGATGACTTGAAAAAAGAGTTGATGTCCAAATCGAAGTACCAATTGGAGTCACTCTATAAAGCGGACAACGTCAAGTATTTCAACAAGAGACAGGCTTCCCTGGATCTCGCGGAGATCCGAGCCCGAGATGCTTACGGCGAAGACTCTGATGAGGAGGGACTTGACAACATCGCAACTGAGGTTCAAGAGGATAATCCTTCTTAATGATCTACGGATCTTTCTTATATCTGGGAGTACGTTGATCGTTCTATTAAGCTACGGGCCCTGTCGGATAAAAGAGGTCAGGAGTGGGAAGATTTAGAAGCATGGATGCGTTTCTTAGTTATGTCTCTTGCTTGTCTAGGCCAATTGTCGTGGTCCCATAAGTTTGTAGGGAGTTGGATTAACTTGTTTCACTCTGGTTTCTACCTCTTTTCTTCCAAGCTTCCGTGTGTTTACCTACTTGTCCCCCCTCTCTTCCATGCTATCTACATTGGCACTACATCTCGTAATATTTCAGCTAGATGGCACGAGCGTGTCCGACTCTCCTCAGGTAGGGTAAGTAGTCATAATCACAAACTGTTGAAATGACTCAATAAGAAAGGATTCTCTTCGTATGTAGCCATTCCCGTGGTTTTTTCTCCCGGGAATGAACTCAGGAAAGTGAAGGATGGGTTTATTCGGCGATGAAGCCCTGTACTTAATTCACGACGAAATTTCGGTAGGAAGGGGGGAAGAAGGAAGAGGAAAAGAGAGAGGAAGGCTTACCTCAGGAAATCAGGATACCTTCCTATGCGGTTGTATGATGTCCCTGTCACTTTTCCTTCCTCACCCGGTAGTGCACTACCCCGTTCCTCGTTTGTTCTCTCCTTTTCTTTGATCTCTACTTTAGATGACTGCTTGGATAGAGGTCGGACAATTATGACACTTGAGTGTGTTGGAGGCACGTTTTTTATGGACGCATGGAGTCGTATCTCGAGGCTGTTTGGGTGGTCCTCGGTTCAACACAACGGTTATACCACTCTTCTTAAGTACTTGCGGCTGGAACTACTGCAAGGGGGCGTTTTTTACTTCACCTGTGTTCGCCGACATTTTGATGGTAGAAGCAGGAGACGAAGTGTCCTCCTTTCCTTACTGCATGTCCCTTGGACTAGGTCACTGCTCAAGGATTTTGAAATTTCGAGTCTTCTCAAGTTGTTTAACACTGTTCCCCTGTTTTTCACTGGACGAACCGCCAGCCGGTTGAATCAAATTATTGGATCGGTTTTTACGATTAAGGTGGGATTCCGGTGTACTTCCCGGATTATCATTAAAGTCAGATATGACATCAGGATTAGTAAGAGCCAGATTGCTAAGATCGCTGAGTCTTGTATTAGGAAGAGGATTATGTGGGTCTGTCTTGCGGACTTCCTTATCTCTAGACTTTGGGTGGTTTGGACGAGTAACAAATCAATGGCGAAAACTATCCACAACCATAGGCTTTTTGCAAAAAATGTCACGACTGTCTGCTCCTGTTCGGATTTCCTAAACTTACCTCAGAACGATGAAGGACATGTCTCCTTCCGATTCTCTGAGATCCTGCGTAGCACATCTTCCCTCCTTAACTCCAATAATGTATGCCTTCCTTCGTTGCCTGTTTCTGTGGCTCATCTCCGTGATGCTATTGAGGCTGGTTTGGGAAGCATTTCGTTTCCTTCCCCTTCTCGATTATCTACCTAGAAGATCTCTAGTTGTTTCTGCGCTTCCCCTCCTCATCTTCCATTCCTTCAGATGTCAGATGAAGACCAGGAATGGCTTAAGAAGCTTGAAGTCCTTGTTCTTATGCCCATTGATCACAATTTTGGTGATTCCTATGTATGCTGCCCGCTAGTAAATTCTACCGCCATGAGGATGCTTTTTATCAATAACCCTGGTTTCGTGACCCAAAACCAGGAGGAATCATGTATTCTGACCAATTGCAGAGCTAAGTTTGCATCACTCAATTGTGACCAGATTGGTCGATGGAATCCGCGTGGGAAAATCGGTTGCGGTTCTGCTATTCCTAAACAAAAGGATATTGAAAGATGGAGACCTATCTCGCCTTCTTTCTCTGAACCAAGCGTTCGGTCTACCCGCGCCATTGGCCGTGCAGTTAACACACTGCTATGGCACCTTCCCAACAATCTTCACTTCAACTTGAAATCCACGACCATGCTCAAGGGAAAGATTTCCGCTATCCACAAGGCAGTTGAGCGACATACGAGTGGTTTCCTGTTATCAGCCTCCTTTGACATCAAAGAGATGTTTACCAGGTTGCCGCACTCTTCGATTATAGACGCCGCAGTATGAATTTGCCACGTGTTTCGGACTAAGGGTGTTCGGCCAGTGTACGTAAGCAGGTCTGGTAAAGACTCTTCCCTCGCCGCAAAGTCTCCAGGCAAAGGCTGGGTGAGGGTAAGTTTCCGACTGCTCTTGCAAGTCCAGGTTTTTTACCTTCATAACACGTTTGTTAAAGATGGATCAATCATTGTCAGACAAACTGTTGGAATACCCATGGGTAAAAGTTCTAGCCCTTCGATTGCATGCCTACTTTGTTCATACAACGAATTCCTATTCATCTCGTCTTTAAAGACACGTAGTAGATTTATCACTGGCATCAGGCTGATTGATGATGTCAGGATTTTTCTAACCTTTCCTAGAAAGACATGGAAATACCTACTCAAGGCTTTTTTTATTTACAACAAATTCCTCCAATGCTACGACAACAATCTCTCCCTCCTTCGCACTGACAACCGTTCTGGCATCTGGGAATTCTTAGGATGCATTGTCACCACTTCTGTTCTCACGCCCTCGGCTAGGTGTGTTGCCATTATGAAAAATCAGCAGTTTATTTTCACTTCCAAACCTATTAAGTTCCTCTCCACCCAAGATTTCTCGTCCTATGGACCAAGGCAACAGAAGAAGGGAGCTGTGACTTGTCATCTTAGTCGGTTGCTGACCCACTCCTCCGATTACAGAGGGGTGGGATTAAGTCTGATTGTTTTAAGGAGGAAGCTTCGACTGAAAGGATTTCCTACTCAGAGCCTTTCGAATTCATTGGCAAAATTTTCACGTCACCATAAGGGGGTCTGGGATTCCTGGGCCTCAATTTTCTCCCTTTTAGAACGAGATCTAATTTGAGGTTTTTCGCTGCCCACTATCTGACCTGATTTTTGGGCTGCCCCCTCTAGTGCTGAAACGTTATCATTAATACTGTTGAAAGACTACTAGCTTAGAGGGAACTTCGGCTGGAAGGATCTCCTACTTGAAGCTTTCAAATTCACTGCACGGAGGTCTGGGAGTTCCGGGGGTGGTTTTTTTTTTTTTTTCCTCTGCAGAACGAAATCTGATTTGCTGCTTTGACTGGGCCTTTTCGCAGCTGTATACTCGATTCCACCTTTTGGCCGATTCCCTAGTCATGAAGTTCTACTTTTCAGGCGGCCGCAAGACTATTAGTTTGGCGCCTTTTTCAAAGGACATCCCAGTGCTCATTTTTGAACCGCTGGGACAGGGCCTGGATCTGATGCCGCCTTTTTTCTGAATACTAGTCAGTCAAGTGTTACGAGCTCTGATCTTTTGCTTTATTTGGTTTCCTCACGTTCTCGTTGGTCTTTCACTACGGGGCTTTCTGCTGACGAAGTTCTCAGGGCGCCACCCGGTTGGTGACCTCTGCCATCTCTTCGACAACCTCAGTTCGCGGAATTTTGACGTCGGGAGTATTCTCTTGCGCGGATGGGCTGCTTTTTGTCCCTTGTTCGCTTCTCCTTTTTCCTCCCTCCCGACCTCTTTTCCTCTTTGCTTCCTGCCTCTCTTCGATCCTCATTTCTTCTCTGTCCAAGTTCTGGCACCGTTTCTCAACTGTTTCTATTTTTCTCCCTGTCACTTACGGTTTCTAGGACTTGTTACGATATGGCTTGGCTCCACGATCGCTCTCCATTTCTATCTTGGTTCTATGACTTTCGATCTATCTGCCCCAGGCTCCTCCGTCTCCCCTTTCTCTCTCTCGTTCGCATTGCTGGAATACGTAGGCATTGGAGTTGGATGGTTTGGCGAGAAGGGTGTTCTTAATACGATTACGATTGTATTTAAGGAGTCTCAGTCCTAGCCTTGGCACGCGATTCACGTCCCCTGATGATAGCGTCTTTGGCGGGCGCTTGAAACGATCGTAGGGACACCGCCAGTTTTTTGACACTGGTTCATCACGTTTTTTAAAAAAAGGGTCTGATTCGTGTACTCGTGTCCATGGTTTTCCGCCTTTACTTCTTGTCGTTCTCGTTTTCGTGCTTTTGTTTTACCTTGACTCTCTTTTGTGTACTCATCCGTTTCTCCTAATCTCTCCTCTCCTGATCTTCCACCTTCCTCGCTGCAATCTCTCTCCTCTCTCCTTTTTCTCCTTCCTAATCCTCCACCTTTCTCCTCTCCTTTGTTCTTTCATTCGTAATGCCATTTCGGCATTTACGCACTACTATGCGTTACCCTTCTTCATCAGCAGCACATGCTGGAAACTTCTCAAAAAACTCAAAGAAATCAAGAAACAACTAAGCCATCAATTACTCGACTAGATGCGTGAGCAAATGGCCTGCTGTTTTTTTTTTTTTTTTTTTTTTTTTTTAAACACCCCTACTGGTGATAGTGGTGCTGATAAGATACTGCTGATAACCTAAACAATGCCTACATCCAAACAAGATGTGCACGTCCATGAGCATGTCCCTTTTTCTGTCTTTTTCTTTATTTTTTTTAAAAAAAGGGTTCTCTGAACCAGGCGCAACTGCCACACCAGGATGTTTTTTTTTTTTTTTTTTTTTTTGGGAAAACCAGGGTTTAGTTGCACAACTTGAAGTAGAACTCCATGGAGAAAATTAGCATTCCCCTACTCAACTAATAGTATCAAACATCGACGAGTGACCCTCGCCTTCCGCTATTTCCATGCCAGGGAGAAAAAATAAAACATGTTTCCGCTGGAGAACAAGAACATGCACCACACATACGAACGGATAAGAGAATTCGTAAAAACAATGTAATTTGGAGTTTACATATCACGAAACGAATTACATTGTAACTCGGCGCTCCGTACGCCCAGACAGTCCTTCTACCCCAGTTTCCCTCAGACCGCTGCTGAGTACTCCCTCGGACGGGCAAACTTTAAGGAGGAAAGACTGCCGAGACCGCCGTTGTGTTCATTCGACTCGATTGTACGCCTCGAAGATGCGAATAATATTCGCGGCCAGGAGGGGTCGAGGTGTCCACAATGTGACTTAGTACATGACGTATCCAGTCCTGCTTTTGGATATTT